CGCCCCCGCCCCCTGCGCGTCTTCACCCCCCGCCTCCTTGTCCTGCAGAATGCTGTGGAGGAAGCCATGGAGATGTACCAGGAACTGCACCTGTGGGATGAGTGCATCTCGGTGGCAGAGGCCAAGGTAGATGGGCATGTGGGGAGATGGGCGGGGGCTCCCGGAGCAGCTCCCCAGCTGCACCCCCCACACTGCACTGCTTCCCTCGCCTCCAGGGCCACCCCGCGCTGGAGATGCTGCGCCAGGGCTACTACGAGTGGCTGCTGCAGACCCAGCAGGAGGAGCGGGCCGCCGAGGTGCAGGAGAGCCACGGGGACCTGCAGGCAGCCATCGGCCTCTACCTGAAGGCAGGGCTGCCAGCCAAAGCTGCACAGCTGGTCATGAGCCGGGAGGAACTGCTGGGCAACGTCGACCTCGTCAACCGTGTGGCCACGGCCCTCGTCCGCGGGGAGCTCTTTGAGCAGGTGAAGCGGGTCTGTGACCGGGGGCGGGGGAGTGGCGACGGGGAGGCATCCTGCCAGGTACTGGCCTTGCTGCTGGGCCTCGGCGCGGCATCTTCCTCCGTCTGCCCGACCAGCCTGCCCTGCGCTGTGCAGGACTGTCGCCTTGGCCTGTCCGTGTTGCTCGCAGACCCGCCGCTGCAGCAGGCACCTCTTTCTTGTTCCTGGCATCATGAACCTCTCCATAGAATTCCAAACTTCCCTTTTTCTGAAAATGTCCCTTTTATTTCCCCTGTGAAGGCTTAAAAGGTATTGCTGGTTAAGCAAGGAGTGGTGTGGTGAGGTGGTCGGCCTTTGGAAGTCCTCCCACCGCTGCCTCCCATGTCCCAGGGGATCTGGGCTGTGGCGCTGGCAGTGGGAGTTCCGAGGAGCAAAGGGCCGAGGGCTTCCGAGCAGGTTCAGGACAAGGCCAAATGGTCTGTGGGGCTGCAGGCGTCACCTCCCCTCCGCCTGGCCAGGGGGCGTCCACGTGACAAGGAGCACCTTCTGTGCTTCACTGAAGGCACACCTACACGCAGAGCAATTCATCTGCCTCTGCAAACGGCCCGTTCCCCTTGGGAGTGACGCCAGCCCCGCTCTGTGTCTTAGGCTGGGGAGCTTTTTGAGAAGATCCGGAACCCGCAGAGGGCCCTGGAGTGCTACCGCAAGGGCAACTCCTTTCTGAAAGGTAGGGGGAGCCCGGGAGGAGGCTCCTGTGGGGCTTCTGCCCCAGGTCCAGGGGTCGGTTGGGTTTTTCGTGGTGCTTGCTGAAGTCTCCTTGCTTAGGCTGCGAGGCCATGTCCGCTGCCCTTCCGTGCCCCAAGCCAGCCACTGCGGAAACGGGGCAGGCGTAGGCGCCCTCCCCAGCCGCCTCGCACCATTTCCCTGTGGCCCAGCCCAGGCTCGGCAGCCCCAGACCTTGCTGGATTGACCCAGCGCCAGGACGAGCTTCCCAAACAGCTCCAGCTGCTGCCTGTGCCTCCTCTCCCTGCAGCTGTGGAGCTGGCCCGTTCGGTCTTTCCGGCAGAGGTGGTGAGGCTGGAGGAGAGCTGGGGGGACCACCTGGTGCAGCAGAAGCAGTTGGACGCTGCCATCAACCACTACATTGAGGCAAGGTACGGGCAGGGGGCACCTGGGGAGGCGGCTCTGCCTGTGCAGGCGGGCCAGCCTTGCGCGCTCTGAGCGGTGCGGCCCGTTGCAGGTGTGCCCTCAAGGCCACCGAAGCGGCCTTGGGCGCACGGCAGTGGAAGAAGGCCGCGTACATCCTGGACATGCAGGACAGGAGCACGGCGGCCAAGTACTACCCCAGGATCGCCCAGCACTACGCGGCCCTGCAGGAGTATGAGGTGAGGCCGGTCCCGCCCCTGCTCGGCCTCCCCCACCTCGGGGGGCTGGCCTGCCTGCCGGTGGTGCGGCTGACCGGGCCCTTGTCCCTGCAGATTGCGGAGGAGCTGTACATCAAGGGAGACCACACCAAGGAGGCCATTGACATGTACACGCAGGCTGGGCGCTGGGAGCAGGCGCACAAAGTGAGGAGGAAGGCTCGTCGCCCCACACCCCGAGCCGTCTGCGTGGGGCAGGGGCAGCCTCGTGCCGATGGGTGGCATTGAGGCGGTGGGAAGAAGCCAGTCTGCTGGCTGAGCCCTAGTGATGTAGGATCTCCGATACGCCTTGGGGCAAATCAGGCTGCTGTCCAAGGGAGAGGGGCTTCCTGGATGGACGGGAATTCTGCGCAAGGCATAGTTAGGAAAGGAATCGACCACGAGGGGCCAGGATCATCTTCTCGTTAAGCAAGTCGATGGTGCAACCGCAGCAGAAACCCTGGCTGTGTCCACACATCATGACAAGCCAAGCTGAAGCCACGCAGGCGAGGCGTGTCGTTAGGTGTGAAGTCAGCATCTGGTGGCTCGTTTGGTTTCTGTGAATCCCCACAAAGAATCGGCCGTTTGCTGGAGGGTCCCACGCTTCACCATTGCCGGCAGCTATGTGTCAGTCCAGTCACAATGCTTCCCCCTGATTTCTGCATTTCTGCCAGTGAGTTTGGCAGCAGGAGCATCCCTCATATCGGCAGATGCTCCCGCCTCCACTTTTCGCTCTCCTGAGTTGCCAGCGGTCTCCGTGCCCCTTTCCTTCCTGCTGGCAGGAGCCCTCTGCACCCGCTGCCTCTCCCTTCCTCCCCCGTGGTGCCCCAGCCCGACGGGGCGTTGCGGCAGCTGGGCGTCACAGTGGTGGGGCAGCAGGGCCGCGAGGCAGCTGGCCACCAGAGGGGCGGGCATCCGAAAGGGGGCAGCTCGAGCGGGAGCGGCTGCAGGGGCACAGGGCGGGCTCAGTGCTTCAGGCGAAGGTGGCCCTGCGACCGGCAGGCTCCTCATGCTCCGGCTGCCCTTCACGTGCCAGCCAACCGCGCGCACATTGCCATCGGGACCATGGCCCTGAGCGGCCTCGTGCCCCGCTCTGCTGCCGCAGCCCCGCACTGGGGCAGGGGCAGGCCTCGCAGAGGCACTTTGCGGGCAGGGGCCCCCCCGGGCATCCTCGCGCGCGTGCCTGGCAGCGCGTGCTCCCTCCACCCTGGCACGGGTGCCTGCCCTCTGTGGGCCGGGCTGCCAGGGGAAGGCAGCCCCGGCGGCACATCCTGCACACGTGTGGGGCACATTGGCGCCGGTGCAGTGAGGCGGGGAAGGCGTGTGGCTGCGTGCGTCGTGGGTGCCGACGCACTGAAGGGCGTGCCGGGGGCAGCGATGCCGCTCTGTCGCTCCCGCAGAGCCGCTGCCCTCCCCCGATGGTGATGGCGGCGCTGCAGAGCTGCAGGGGGAAGGGACTTGCTGGAGCACGTGTGGTGCCATGCTCGGGCCCCAACGGGAGGGCAGGCGGGAGCGGCGCGTGCGCTCACTCGCTCTCGCCGTACTTGAGCCCAAAGCGATCCTCTTACGAAGCCGACTGACGCAAGACCCAGGGCGCACTAAAGGAAGGGCTTCTTCCCACTGTGGCCCAGCCCAGCCCAGCCCAGCCGCGGAATTCTGTGTCCAGATGTGCTGGCAGTGGCCTGTTTGGGCCACCTTTGAGGAGGATTTGGTTGGCTGAACTCATGCGGGGATAAGGCTGTCCAGGACTGTTTGTCCCGATGGCTTGTGCTGCCCCGCATGCCATTTGCTGGGGAGCATGGGCAGGAGGGTGCCCTTGCACTCCTGACTTGCTCATTCCACTGGGGCAGCTGCGTGGCTACCGTGTGAATGGAACGCTGGACCAGATCGCTCTTCCGTTGCCATGCTCCAGCCAGCCCCTTAAAAGCCCTCGCTGCTGCTGCGGCGGGCTGGGACGTGTGGCCGGCCTTGCCTCGCTGCCCATGCCTGGCCCCAGCTCTGGTGTCCCTTTGCAGCTGGCCTTGAAGTGCATGCGGCCTGAGGACGTGTCCGTGCTGTACCTCACTCATGCCCAGGAGATGGAGCGCCAGGGCAAGTACAAGGAGGCTGAGAGGTGGGTGGCCCTGCTGGGCCTCGGGCAGGGCGGCGGGCAGAGCAGTGGGGCGGTGGCCTGGCTGGCGGGGGTGCCGGGAGCTGCAGCCTGGGAGAGCCCCTCACGCCTGGCACTGCGCTTCCCAGGCTCTACATCACGGTGGAAGAGCCAGACTTGGCCATTACCATGTACAAGAAGGGCAAGATGTATGACGAGATGCTGCGGCTGCTGGCCAAGTACCACCCGGACCTGCTGAGCGATACGCACCTGCACCTGGGCAAGGTGGGCTGGGCAGGCAGGTGGGGCGGAGGAAATGCGGCAGGATGGGCTGCGCAGTAACCGGCTGGCTTGGGGTGCAGGAGCTGGAAGCTGACGGGCACCTTCAGGAGGCCGAGTATCACTACCTAGAAGCCAAGGACTGGAAGGCGGCAGTTAACATGTTTCGGGTGAACAACATGTGGGACGAGGCCTACCGGGTAGGGATGGGCACCTGATCCGGGTGCGGGGAGGGCGGCTCCTCGGGGCCGGGCTGGCCGTCTGGAGGCTGCCCCAGGCGAGCTGTGCTCCTCCGTTCTGACCTGCGGCAGGTGGCCAAGGCGCATGGCGGGGCAAACTCCCACAGGCACGTGGCCTTTTTGTGGGCAAAGAGCCTCGGTGGAGAAGCTGCTGTGAAGCTGCTCAACAAGTTCGGGCTCCTGGAGACGGCCATGGACCACGCAGCAGATAACAAGTGAGCAGGGCAGGCGTGGGCCAGGGAGGCGCCTCTCCCAGCGGCCCAAGGCAGCTCCCCGGCATGCCTTGCTCCAGCCCTGAGCCCAGGGAGCCTGGGGCGATCCATCCCTGGGCCCCACGTGAAGAAGCCGCTGCAGCAGCACTGCCTGGCCTGAACGGGCCTGGCCTGAACGGGGTGGGGGGCCGAGACCCACCGTGGCGCGTTCTCAGCAGGCCCCGTGCTTGCATGTCTCATTCTGCTCCCCCGGCTCTGTTTCCTCGACAGCATGTTTGACTTTGCTTTTGAGCTGGCTAGGCTCTCCCTGAAGCAGAAGCTGCCCGCGATCCACTTCAAGTACGGCTCCTTCCTGGAAGACGAGGTCAGGGCCCCTGCAGAGCGGGGCGGGCCTGCGCACTCCCTGGAGGGAAGGCTCCCCGGGGCTGATGCATCCCTCTCCTTTGCACGCAGGGCAAGTTTGAGGAAGCGGAGGTGGAGTTTGTGAAGGCCGGGAAACCAAAGGAAGCGGTGCTGATGTGAGTGGCCCCCGCCAGCCCCGCAGCCCCCACCCCTAGGTCTGGGATGCTCTCCCCTGGGGCTGTGCCCTGGTCTCCCCGTGCCAGAAGTCTCCCCCGCTCTGTGTCCGCCCAGGTATGCCCACGCCCAGAACTGGGCTGCAGCTCAGCGAGTGGCGGAGGCCCACGACCCCGACAGCGTGGTCATTGTGCTGGTGGGCCAGGCCGATGCTGCCTTCAAGCAGAAGGAGTTCCCGAAGGCGGAGGCCCTGCTGCTGCGGGCCCAGCGCCTGGACCTGGCCGTGAAGCGCTACAAGGTAGCGGATGCGCTCCGCTTGGTGGGGGGCTGGGCAGGGGAGAGGGACGGTCTGGCAGGGCGCAGCCCCTGGTATTGCCCCCCGAAGGTGGCGTTGGGACCTGGAGCTGGTCCTCCCCAGCCCTCTTCTCCTTTGCAGGGCCTTGTCCTGGGCAGCCACGGCAGGCTCCTACAGAAGGCCATCTGGGAGGAAGAGGAAGGGGCTTGGTCCAGCTGAGCTGTAGCCAGATGGGGCAAGGAGGAGGAAGCGGAGGGAGGAAGGGACTCTGAGGGAGTGGGCTCTGCTGCCCACTTGCTGTGTGGACTGGAGGCTCCCAATATGTTCAGGGACACGCAGTCCAGCTGGGGGAGTGCTGCACAGGAGGCAGGGCTGGGAAGCCCCCCGTCGGCAGCCCAGAGCCCCATCGCCCACAGGGGCGACCGGCCCCTCCCTCTGAGCAGACTGGCCTGAGTCAAGAGGCAGTGGGCACGTGGGGGCGCAGTGGCCCATTCCCTCCCCAGGCCCAGAGCGGTTGCAGGTGACCCTGGGCTGCTTCCTTTGCGCAGGAGGCAGGCATGTGGACCGACGCCCTCCGGGTCTGCAGAGAGTACCTGCCAGGAGAGCTGGAGGCCTTGCAGCAGGAGTATGAACGGGAGGTGGCCAAGAAGGGGCCCAGGTCAGCCAGGCACAGCGGGTGGGCAGCGGGAAGCCAACCGGGGGGGAGGCTCCTGGACCCACCTTCCGGGGCCCCAGGCATTGGCCTGCTGGACCTCCATGCCAGGGCCCCCAGGGCAGCCCCTGGTGCCCCCTCCCCGCTGCCCTTCCCTTCCCTAGACCGTGACAGAGGCCTGTTGGCTGGCAGGGGAGTGGAGGGCCTCCTGGAGCAGGCCCAGGAGTGGGAGCAGGCCGGCGAGTACGCCAGGGCTGTGGGCTGCTACCTGAAGGTGCGGGACCTCAGCGACACGGCCCTCTCGGAGAAGTGCTGGACGAAGGTAGGCCGCCCCCGCGCACGCACGGCTTCTGTGCCCGCAGGGCTCTGGGTGGGTCAGGCGCAGACCCACGGGGGCGGGGGGCACCTGTGGGGTCCCATGGCAGCAGGGAGGCTGTGCCGGCCCTGCGGGCAGCACTCTGCGGCTTCTGCCTCAGCCGAGAAGTGCTGCCTTCCGGTCCCCCGTTGGCGGTGGCAGGGCAGGGCTCTTCCTCCAGGGAGGTCTCGGGGGGCAGTGACAGCGCTCCTCTCCTGGAGCCCCTTCCCCCGAGCAGGCCTGGCTGGGGGGCTTCACTTCTGACTTGATCTCCTTACGGCAGGCCGCTGAGCTCGCCATCAAGTTCCTCGGCCAGCCCCGGAGCATCGAGGTCATGCGGACCGTCGGCCCCCAGCTGGTCAGCATCGGCAAATTTAATGCGGTAAGGAAAGCGAGGGTTCCTCTGGGGCTGAGGCTGAGGAGCTGACTGGTCCTCTGTGCCTTGCGGGCTCTGGGCTTCTGTGGCGGTGCTGCCCTGGAGCTTTGGGGGTGCACCGGGGCAGCAAGCAGCCCCACCTGCAGCATCCCCCTCTCCCCAGGCCGCAGAGCTCTACCTCAACCTGGACCTGATCAAGGAGGCGATCGACGCGTTCATGGAGGGGGAGGAGTGGAACAAAGCCAAGCGGGTGGCGAAGGAGCTGGATCCCAGGTATGGAAGGCCCAAGCCTTCTGAGGGGTCCCCGCACGCGCCCTTAGGCCCGATGCGCCGAGTGGCCCTCAGACTGAGGAAGGAGGCCTCGCTCTCCCAGCCCCAGTGCTCCCCAAGGGGGATGCCGCTGGGGACTGGACTGGCACTCAGTCTTCCGCTTGCCGAGCGCACCGTGCTCTGCCACGGGGGTCTCCCTTTCCATTTGCTCCCACGCTCATGGGACGAGCGGAAGGCACACGCAAGGGCTCGGCACCCTCTCCTTCCTCCCTTCCTCGCCTCCATCCCTTTCCTGTGGCAGGTATGAGGAGTATGTGGATCAGCACTACAAGGAGTACCTGAAGAACCAAGGCAAAGTGGACTCGGTGAGAGGGCACCCGGGAGGGAGGAGGGAGACGGGCCTGGACCCCTGCCACGGAGGCGCAGGGGGGGTGGCGCCGACCGCTCCAGTTGCGACTCTGTGGCCCCGCACAGCATGCGCAGGCGGGACTCGTTTGCCTCCCCAGCTCACCGTCTCTTTCCTCTTCGACAGCTGGTGGGTGTGGATGTCATGGCTGCCCTCGACATGTACGTAGAGAGGGGGCAGTGGGAGAAGTGCCTCGAGACAGCAGCCAAACAGGTACGGGGGAACAGGCTTCCGCGGGGGCTCTCCCGCAGCCCCTTGCCAGAAGTGCTGATCCGATGTAGCCGGCTGTGCCTCAGCTTCCCCATAAGCCACGGGCTGCTTGACTGTGGGTCAGCAAGGCCCAGGTTGAGGCAAAAGCCTCCTTTACAAAGGGGGGACGAAACTGCCCTCCCATTCCCGCTCCCGCCCCAGCTGCCTTGATGGCACGCCGGAACAACCTGGCTCTGTGCTGGATTCGGGTTCAGGATGCCCATCCCGATCTGTTACATTCTGCTGCCCGCCTGCCCGAGCTCTTAGGCCGTCCTGGCTGAGTGCCACCCAGTGACGGCTGTGCCTGGGGTTCACCGCCCCCCATCGTGCCCAGGGAAGGGCCCGGTTCATGAGGGAGGGGAGGGTCTCCCGCTCGTCCCCCCATCTCCCATTCCCAGCAAGCCTGGCAGAGCTCTCCTGCCCTGTTCCTCGCTCTTGCAGAACTACAAGGTGCTGCAGAAGTACGTGGCTCTTTATGCCACCCACCTGATCCGAGCGGGCAACTGGGACCGGGCCCTGGGCCTCTATGTGCAGCACGGTGCCCCTGCCAACGCCCAGGTAACGCAGGCAGCCGGGCTGGCAGTGGGGGGGCGGGCAGCGGCCCTGGGCGCACGCCCGTCGGCCCTGACCAAGCACCCCTGCCTCCCAGAACTTCAATATCTACAAGCGGCTCTTTGTGGAGGTGGTGAACGTGGCCGACCTGGACCACGCAGGGGCCTACCGCAGCTGGGCAGACTTGCGGGACGTGTTCTTCGGTCTGGTGAGTGAGGAAAGCTGCGTCGCCGGCGGGCCGCAGCAGGCGCTGCCTCGGCTTTGGGGCTTTACGCCCTTGCTGCTGCTGCAGCCACCCGGCACCCCCCAGACGCGTTTTCTGTGGCAGGCCCTCCCTGAGGTCTAGCCCCCGTGCAACAGCTGTGCAGGACTTGGGCTCCCTAGATGTCCACAGATCTGCTTTGTCTGCTAAAGACAGACCAAAAGACTTGGATTCGGCCATCGTGTCGAACCGAATTTATGGTGGAGGGCAGGGCAGGCGGCATCTGGGGGCTGCCCCCAGCGTCACTCAGAGGCACGGAGTGCTTCCCACGCCGCAGGATCCTTGGAGGAGTGGAGGGTGAGCAAGGCCTGCTCCTCTGAGTTGCCACTAAAGGTGTCCAGCTCTCAGCAACCGGTTCTCATAGGAAAGTCAGAAAAGGCACACCGGGTCAGAGCAGCAGGCCAGCGTCCTGCTCACGCAGGCGCCAGCTGCCTGGCCCTGCAAGGAGCCCCTAGTCCAGCACAAATGGAAACCCGAGATGCTTCCTCAGGCCCTGGCTCAGCGGTGAGGACCCTGCAGCCTTTCTGCTTGGGTGGGTGGCCTTCGCCTGGACCCAGAAAGGAGGGGGCGGCTCTGGCAGCTGCAAGTTGCACGGCTGTGGATCTCCTTGGCTATGAGAGACCTCATGCCCCTCGCCTCAGTGGATCTGAGTCCATGCTGTCTGGCCCGGTGCCAGGAGCACAGCGGGTGCAGGGGGCACGGCCTCGCTCCATCGCACTCACAGGCTCCCCAAAGGCTGGCCGAGGTGGGAGCAGAATGCCAGCCTTTTGTCTCACCGGGTTTCAGCGCCCTTCTGACCTTATCACCAGAGAGCAACGTGTGATTCAGTTTTCTTTCTTGGGAGGGTTGGTACTTGCATTATATACAGAATCAGACCACTGGGCCAGCCTGCTCCCCTCCGCCAGATATTTCCGACTGGAACACCTGTTTGACCCATCTGTCTGTCCAGGGATTTGGGGAGTTGTAATCCAAGAGGTGATGGCTCGGAGTGGCACGCATCTGGGCTCCAGGGCAAAGGGGGGGGGGTGTTCCTATTGTGGCCTGCAGCCCAATCCCTGAAATGAGTGTGCCAGGGCCTGGGGGCACTGGGGCTTTTGGCGTGAGGAGCCCCAGCACCGAGCCCTGCCCACCCACAGCGCCGAGTCGTGTGCCCTTGTGATGCTTCGGCCCCGTGGCTTTGCTTTGGCTCCTGCAACGAGAGCCGCTGCAAAGACACACACCAAGCGAGCCTCTCGCACGTGGCTGCCGTGGATCCTGTGGTCCCCACGTGGCCAGGCTGAGCCATGCATTTCCCTTTCCTGACAGTGCGAAAACCTTGCGAAGTCCAGCGAAGCCAACACGCCCGCTCATGAGGAGTTCGAAACGATGTTGCTCGTGTCTCACTACTATGCCACACGGGCCGCAGCCCAGAGTGTCAAGCAGCTGGTGAGAGGCGGGGTGGAGCCCCGTCTCCCTCCCCCAGGCATGGCCCTGTGGACGGCCTGAACCTTGCTTGGGAAGCCGCCTGCCGGGTCCCAGAGCCCCTTCGCACAGGCTGCCAAATCTGCAAGGCTGGCCCCGGCCTGGCCCCTGGCATGAGGCGTGGCTCCCAAGCCCAGCCAGCCGCTCTCCTGGGCGGTTCTCCGCCCCTCTGGAGAAGCCCCAGCGGACTTCTTCCCTTGGGGCTGGCACAGCCGGCACTTCCCCTCCGGTTCATTTCATTCCACGCATTCTGCTGAAGCCAGTGGGGGAGCTCCGTTTGTGCTGACCGTTAGATCACAATTCCTCTCCGACAGTGACGGCGGTCAAAATGCTGCTAGCTGCTCCTGCTCCGCTATTTGTCCAGCAAAATTCCTTAATGGGAAACATTCTCCCAGGCTCTTTCCTACTGGTCCCACACTGCTGGCTTGGCAGCCGTGCCCCCCCCCCCCCGATCTCGGGACACAAAGGAGCTCGGGCCCCGTGGGCTGTTCCTCCCACAAGGCTGGAGGTGTCCCAGAGGCCTTGCTCGGCCTGAGGTGCCCGCCTGCATGCCTGGAAGGGGAGCTCCCATTTGCGTGGCTGTGCCTGTCTCCCGGGGGCACGTGCTTTCCTGTGCAGCCTAAGGGTGGGGTGGCGCCGCCCTCGGAGTGGACAGAAGCAGCCGCTCGGGTTTCAGAAATGACACGTCTGCCCTGGTCATGCTTTGGAAAGGGCCGCAGTCCCTTTGCAGTTCCTCAGACCCTTCAAACCCCCCCCCCCCCGAGCGCTCTGGCCAAGGACCAGTCATAGCAGTGGCGGTAGCGGAAGCCTCCCTGCTCGGGCTGCCTGGTGCAGGAGCCAAGGCCTCGCCTGGTGGCATCCAGGCGAGCCCTCCCATGCTCAAGGGGCCGCTTGGGAGGGGGCGGTGGCAGCCGTGCCAGCCAGACCTGGCCAGCTGGTACGAGGAGGGCCCTCTCGTGGCACAGAAGCCACACACTGGGGCTTGTGGGTGATGGGTGCTCTGTCCCCAGGACACCGTGGCGGCCAAACTGTCCATCTCCTTGCTGCGCCACACCGAGATCATCCCCGCAGACAAAGCCTTCTACGAAGCTGGCATGGCAGCCAAGGTGAGGAGGCGCCAGCTGCAGGGGACAGTGCGCATGCCCAGCCCAGGCCTCCCTGGTCTCTCTAGGGAATCCAGGGGACCGGCACTTGCCAGCCAGCTTCGCCCTCTTCTCTGAGGAGAGGCTGAGGCAGAGGGCGAGATCCTGCTTCGGGGGGCAAGAGGCCCGAGGCCAGTTCACAGGCGATTTGGGCAGGTCACGGAGCTGGGGGACTCCGCCTGGGGGGCTGCAGAGCTCACACTCCCAGCTTCAGGGAAAGGGCCACGGTTGCTGCGCGGGCCTTGTGCATCGCGCGTGGAATGGAAAGCAGGTAAGAAGGGAGATGCTTCCCATTCATGGCACTGCCTCCTTCGCCATCCCGTGAAGCTGCCTAGAGGCAGATAGAGGCCAGAGGGCAGGGGTAAGTGCAGGGCTGCAGGGGCACCAGCCTGGCAGTCCCGAGGCCCTGCCCAACCTCCCTTTGATGCTGCTCTGAGCACAAGAGCCACCTTGGAGTGCTCAGCCCAGGGAGGGAGACCGCCTGCTCATCCTCAGCCCTGCTGGTGGCGGGGCCTGGCCGGGAGCCAGGTTGCTTGAGCCAGTCGGCAGGTCCGTCCAGAGGTGGCGGCAGGCGGCGGAGGCTTTCCTGAGGCTGCCACTTCGCCCCTGCTGCGCACCGACTCCCACCAGTGCCTCTGCCTCGGCTGCATCGTGCCGCACAAGCCCTGGCTGCCACACAAGGTCCCTTCCGGGGGAGGGAGGAGCCTGGGGCTGGTCTGCTCCTGGCCGTCCCTGCAGGCGTCTGTCCCGCCACCCCCGATGAGACCGGGCTCTCCTCTGCAGAGGTGGCGGCAGTGCTGGCAGGCTCTCCACGGCCTTGGAGGGGTGGCAGCAGCAAGCCCCCGCTCGCCTCGCCTTCTCGTCCTTCTCCAGGGAGTCGGCTGGGAAAACATGGCCTTCATCTTCCTGAACCACTTCCTCGACCTGACCGATGTGAGTCCTGGGGCTGGGAGCTGCCCTGCCCTGCCATGGCCACTGCCCTGCCACGCCACGTGCCCACTCGAGGGCGCCCGGGGCCGCCGCTTTCCCTGACAGCATTGCTCCTCTGCCCAGGCCATCGAGGAGGGCTCACTGGACGCCCTGGACCACTCGGACTTCCAGGACACAGACATCCCCTTCGAAGTGCCGCTGCCCGCCAAGCCCCACGTCTCGGTGGGTGCCCCTTTCTCTCTTGCCCAGCCCTGGCCGCGGGGGGTGGCGGGGAGGCAGAGCGTGCGTGCCGTTCCTTAGGGCGGGGGGGGGGGTCTGTCCTTTCCCGGCCCTCCATCTAGCAGCCCCCACCCCCCCGGGCTGCATCTGCCTGCCGGCTCCTCAGAGACACACTGGGCTCCGTGGCAGGAGGAGCAGCGTGAGGAGATCCGCGACTGGCTCCTCGCCGTCTCCATGGATCAGCGGCTGGAGCAAGTGCTGCCCCGGGACGAGCGGGACACCTACGAGGCCTCCCTGGTGGCCGCGAACACAGGAGTGCGTGCCCTGCCCTGCCTCATCACAGGTGAGGCGGCCGTGTGAGGGGGGGGGCGCTGGGCAGAGGCCTGCTCCCCGCCCACTGAGGGCGAGTCGCTGCTCTGGGCCGGACGGGCTGGCGGGAGAGGTTGGCGGCACTTCGGAGTCGCTCTCGGCCCACTTGGGCCCTTGCGGGAGCGGCCAGGCTGGCTGGCTGGCACAGGGAGGCAGCGTGGCTGACTGGGCACCTTCAGGCAACGGCAGGGGCCAGCGTGGTGGCCGCTTCCCCGCTTCCTTCCTTCCGTGTCTCGTGGGAAGGAATGCCTCTTCCAAACCGGCACCACCTGGGGAGATGGATCGGGAGAGAACGCCTGTCCCAGGGTGGTGCCCTGTGGCAGCGGTCGAGCCAAACCGGCTGCCTGCTTGCCTCCACGGCAGTTCTGGTCAGGTCCAGCTCTGAGGCAGCGGTGACTGCCCCGGCACCCATTTGGCGCTGCCGCAAGGCTGAGGCCCTAGCCCTCCTCACACTGGCTGCGTGGAAACACGCGGTGCGGGCCGAGGCAGACCTGCCTCCAGGCAAGCAGTTGGGAGGCGCGTGGCCACGCTCCACACGCCGTCGCTGAGAACGTGCCGAGTCTGCCACTCACCCCGCACCCCCGGCCGGCAGCCCTCGGATGAGCCAGCCCTGCGCCGGCCTCCCTTCAGGGCCCTGCAGTGGCCGTGCGAGGCACCCCTGCGGTCAGGCTCGAGGCGAGCCTCCAGACTGCTCACACGCTCGGGCCGGCAGGCTTGGCTCTTGGTGGCCTGGCCCCGTTCTGCCTGCCGCCGGCGCTCTTGTGTCTGGCATTGCCTCTCCTTGGGCAGAGTGCTGGAATGGCGGTGCCAGCGGCGTCTCCATGCAAGGCAGCAGCTGGTGGGGCCCCAAGGCTGCATTCTACCGAGACGGGCCTTGTGTGCCCTGCCAGGGTCCGGAGGGGCGGATGCAGAGGACTACTCCCTGCAGCTGCCCTCTGGGCTGCTGCTGCTGCTGGGCTGGGGAGCGACATGCCACCCCTTTACCCCCAAGGGACCCTGACAGCCCCACCTCCCACCCGCAGGCTACCCTGTGCTGAGGAACAAGGTGGAGTTCAAGCGGCCCGGCAAAGAGGCCAACAAGGACAGCTGGAACAAGTTTCTGATGGCTGCCAAGGTGAAGGGGATGGGCGGGGAGGGCAGGAAGGCAGTCCCGCGACCTGGGCACAGAAGTGCCAGGCGGCCCGGGGGATCGCCGCTGCCTGCCCAATTCTCACCCTTCCTTGCAGATGTCGCACAGCCCACCCTGCCAGGAAGTCCTCAAATTCATCAGCCAGTGGTGTGGGGGCCTGCCCAGCACCAGCTTCTCCTTCCAGTGACGAGCTCCTGGGCCGTTATTTGGGCCATTATTTATTCTCCCCTATTAAAATTATGGTTTGTAGTATTTTGTTTCTGGGCTTCTCTAGACAAGCAGTCCCTCCCTCTCAACCTGTCCAGACCTTGGGCGCAGGGACCTAAAGGCATGGGCCAGGGTGCCGGCAGAGGAGGCTCGAAGGGGCCCTGCCACCGAGGCCACCTAGTGCAGGCTTCCGTTTCCAGCCAGTGGTCTGGGGACGCGAGAGTCACTTACAGAATCATAGAATAATAGAGCTGGACGGGGCCATGAAGGCCATCTGGTCCACCCCCTGCTGTTGCAGGGCACCATGCTGCACCACCCCACTCAGAGGGCTGCCTGGTTTCCTTTTAATGCCTCCAGTGTGGGACAGCCCCCCCACCCCTCTGGGCAGCTGGTTCCACTGCCGAGTTGCTCTGGCAGTGGGGAAGCAGCAGCACGCAAAAGAGGCAGTGCCCGTGGGGCCTGTGGCCAAGGAAGGCCGCCAGAGGGGCAGCACCGCCCTGGGAAGGGGATGGAACAGCAGCTGGCTGGGTGGGGACACTCGTTGCTCATCACAGGCTGGGCATCACTTGCAAGGGTAGAGTTCAGGATTTTTTCTAGGCCATCCAGTCACTTCTGTCTCTGGACAGCTCACAACAATCTATAAATACAACAATAAATAATAACATATGTATCCTGAACAATAATGAATGAGATCTGGCATGACTGAAATACATAAAATTAATTAGTAAAATAAGTTAAAATAATTCTAATAATAATTAATTTTTATCATTAAAATATTGGTTAAATAAAAAGGTCTTAACCTGGCGCTGAAAAACAGATCAAGACGGTGCCAGGCGGCCCTCTCTGGGGAATGTTTCACCCCACGCTTGGCTGAGGTTCGCAAGGCGGCATGGAGCGGGCCCTGAGCTCAGCGGGTTGGTCTGGGCAGCAAAGAGCACAGGAAGAGCTGCCTGGAAGGACCGCCGGCCATGGAAGGGGACACAGTAGCCCCACCTGTGGCTCTGACCCCCGCCGCCCACCCGGAGAAGCACAGCAGGCAACGGATGCTGCCCACGGAAGGCGACAGAGCCCCCCAGCCAGCCAGCAAGTGCCGAGGGACCCAGGAGGGCAAAAGCTGGCACTGGGGGGCGGGTGGCACGTGCCGCTGGAGCGCATGCCAGGAGTGAAACCCGGCCCGCAAGGCCAGCCGGGCTGCAGGAGGTCTACGAGCGCATGCGGGGAGTCGCGCCGGTACATGGTGCAGCCACGGAGGCCGGCCGCGAAGGCCCAAAGGGCCCAGCCAGGCCCAGCAGAGGCGCCCCTGCCCCCCCCCCCCCCCGCTCCCGCCCCCCCCCAAAACGCCCCCCGCCGGCCGCCACCCGCCCGCCGCTGCCTTGGCCCACCTGCCCCTGCGCGCTCAACGTGCATGGGACCCGTGCAGAGGCGCAAGCGCGCTGGTGCGGAGCCGAGCCTGCTCGCTCGCCGGAGGTCGAGAACCATCTGGCCTCCCGTTCCGGCGGGCGCTTGCCGCGGGTGGGGCGCAGCTGCGGGAGCTGCCCGCCCAAGGGTGGGACCAGCGGCAGTGCTGCGCGGGGCCCCGCCACTCGGCTGCCTGCTCCCCGACGTGGAGCCGCCCAGCTGCCTGCACTGTTGGGCCTCACGCGCCTCCGCCTTTCCTCCGAGGCTCCTGGCCCCACGGAGCGCAAGGGGCGGCCGTCCAGAGAGCGCCCTGCTCGCCGGAGGCCCTCTCGGCTGCCCTGGTGGAGCAGCTGGGCCACGGGCGAGCGCCTGGAGGGGGCGGGGGGGCCGTGTCCGCAAGTGGGGTGCAGGCCCGGCAAGGCGGGGGCGTCTCCCAGGTGCTGCTGGATTTGAGCACCCCTCGTGCGGCGGCTGCCTCAGAAGTGGCCTGGCTCGCCCTTCGTGCCCGCGTCGTTACGCTTCTGTGCTGCCTGTGGCCACAGCTCTGAGCTGTTCGCAGCTTTTAAGTCATCCATCAACCAGGGCCAGCACTGCGTAGCTTCCAAGATTAGGCAGCGCTTGCCTTGTGGGAAGGCCTCTGCTTGGCTCCAGTCTGTCTCGGGAAGAATCGGGGACACCGGCCTCCTACCCTGGAAAGCTTGCCCTGGCCATTCCGCATGGGATGCAGTCACGGCCTTCCTGAGCCACCATCTTCCGCTGTGCTGCACTGCACCTCCCCGCATGGCTAACCGGGCTGACTTAAGATGGGAAGATTGTGCTTCAAAACCATCAGGCTGGAGGTCCATTGGTTTGGGTGACCCGGTGCGTTCCTTATTGTGACACCCTGCTGAGCAACAAAGCAGTGGCCTTCTGGGGAGGTGCAAGCTTAGCCCGTCTGTGGAGACTTGTTAGCTGGCTGTGGGCAATCCGTCCCCTTCCGTCTACTGTGCTGCTTCTGGTGGGTGGAGGGGGCCAGAGCTGCAGGTGGGGCTCATGTGACTCCTTCCATGTCCTTGGCGGTCCTCCCAGCGAGTCCAAATCCATCTCCGAGTGAGCAAGCCACTGCCTCCCTCCCTGTGCAGGGGGAGGGACAGGGGGAGTGTGTCCCTGTTTGTTCTCCTGGACTTCTCAGCAGCCTTCGATACCATTGGCCCTGGTATCCTTCTAGATAGGCTGGCTGGGTTGGGGGTTGGGGGCACTGCTTTGCAGTGGTTCCACTCCTGTCTGGCCAATTCCAGATGGTGGTGCCAGGGGATTGTGGCTCTGTGCCATGGCAACTTTGCCATGGAGTTCCACAGGGTTCCATTTTGTCCCCCATGCTTTTTAACATCCACATGAAACCGACTGACAGGAATTCACACTGGTCCTTTACCGCTTACACTGGCTGTCAATTGAAGTCTGGGCCCAATTTAAGGTGCTGATGATGACCAATAAAGCCCTAAACAGCCTGGGTCCTAAATACCTGAAGGGGTGCCTCCTTCCCTATACACCCTTGAGATCTGAGGCAGGTCTGTCTTTGGGAGCCCTCCTTGGAAGAGATGAGGGTGGTTATGTGGAGGTCCTTCTCTGTGGTGGCGCCCTGATGATGGGGAATGTGTTCCCCAGAGACACTTGCCTGGCACCAACGCTGCTTTTTGGCACCAGGTGAAAACCTTTTTCATTCTCCCATAATTTTAATGTTAATTAGGTTTTAATGTGTTTTATACTGCATTTTGTGCTACTTTAATTTTAATTTTACTTGTTGTAAACCACCCCGGGACACTAGTATAGGGATGGTTTATAAAAGCTTCAAACAAACATGTTGAAAACTAAGCCCAATGAACTTCACCCAAGTCATAAAAAAACTAGCGGAGAAACTCTCAGAACCACTGGCTATTATCTTCAATAAATCTTGGAAAACGGAAGTGCCAGACGACTGGAGAAGGGCGAACGTCGTCCCCATCTTCAAAAAAGGAGAAAAAGATGAACCTGGAAACTGCAGACCAATTAGGCTGGCATCAATCCCTAGAAAAATTCTGGAGCAAATTATTAAATATCAGTCTGCAAGCACCCAAGAAAATGCAGGAACTGAAAAAAGCCAGCATGGATTTATCAAGAATAAATCCTGTCAGTCTAATTTAATCTCCATTTTTGACTGGCTGACAACCTGAGCAGACAGAGGGGACACTGACCCGCGTTGACTTTAGCAATGCTTTTGAAAACGTGCCCCACAGCATCCTGATAAGCAGATTAGCAAAAACTGGACTAGATGGAAAAGCTACTAGGTGGACCCAACATTGGCTGCTGAATTGGACACCAAGAGTGCTCATCATTGGCACCTTCTCAGATTGGATGGCGGTAACGAGTGGGGTGCTGCCGGTTCAGTCCTGGGCCCAGTGCTCTCCAACATCTTTATGAATGATTCGCGTGAGGCAATGAATGAGAATCAGACTTGCAGACAATACAAAACGGTGGAGTAGCAAACACCCTGATAGAGTGAAGATCCAGGGCGATCTTGAACACTGGGCTGAAAGCAACATAGTGAGATTGAATAAGGACCAGTGCCAAGTCCTCTGCCTTGGAAAGAGAAACCAAATGGATTGATACAAGATGGGGAATACGTGGCTCAACAGAACTGAACAAGAAAAAGATCTTGGAGTAATTGTGCACAATAGGCTAAACACGAGCCAACAATACGATGCAGCCTCCAAAAGGGCAAATGCTATGTTGGGATGCATTAACAGAAGTATTACTTCTAAATTACAAGAAGTAGTAGTTCCTCTATACACCTCACTAGTCAGACCTCACCTGGAATTCTGTGTCCAGTTCTGGGCACCAAGATTTAAGAAAGCGGGGTCCCCCAGGGCTCTGTCCTGGGGCCGATCCTGTTTAATCTTTTCATTAACGACATGGAAGAAGGGGTGAACAGTCTGCTGAACAAATTTGCAGACAACACTAAAACTGGAGCAGTGACCACAACTGAGGAGCAGGTAGTCCAGATCCAAAAGGATCTGGACAGACTATGGAAGTGGGCAGGAGACAACAGGATGGCATTCAATGTGGAGAAGGTGCAAGGTCTTGCACTTGGGACATAGGAATAGCTGTCATAAGTACAGAATAGGGGACAAGGGGTGGAGAGCAGCACTTGTGAAAGGGACCTCGGGGTGCTGGTGACTGCAGGCTGAACATGAGCCAGCAGTGTGAGGGCGAACGCCACCCTTGGTTGCATAGTCACAAGTGTGGCTTCTAGATCAAGAGAGGTATTACTACCACTCTACACGACTCTGGTGCGCCCGCAACTGGAGCGTTGTGCTCAGTTCTGGGCCCCTCATTACAGGAAGGATATAGCCAGGTTGGAGTCAGTGCAGCTTGGGGTCACAAGGTTGGTGGCCGGTTTGCAGGGGATGCCGTATGAGGCGAGACGGAGGGAACTGGGTCTCTTCAGCCTGGAGGAGACTCAGAGGGGATCTGCTGGCGACATCCAGGTATGTGAGGGGGGTGTCACATGGAGGTGGGGAGAGAACTGTTCTCCCCTGCAGAGGAAGGCAGGATGCACCCCAATGGAGCAAAGCTCAGGGAGCCAAGGTTCAATTTGGATGCCAGGAAGCACTTCCTGACAGGACCCCAAGGGTGTGGAATGGGCTTCCACGGGAGGTCGCTGAGGCCCCATTGGTGTGGGTGTTCAAGGATAGGCTGGACGTGCGCATGGTGGGCATGTCGTGAGCAGAGCTGGCTGGTGCTGGAGGTCAGACTAGATGGCCTGGGAGGCCCCTCCTGACTCGCTGTTTTCTATGTTTTTCTGTTTCTAAGATGCAGGAAAATTAGAAAGGGTCCAGCAGAGGGCAACAAAAATGATGCAGGGTTTGGCAACACTGCCCTGTGAGGAGAGACTGGGAGAACTGGGCATGTTCAGCCTTGGAGAGAAGACGGAGGGGAGCATGATATCCCTCTATCAGGACCTCAAAGGCTGTCACAAAGAGGAAGATCTCCTCCTGCTGATGCCAGAGTGTAGGACACTGAATAATCAATTCAAGTTACGGCAACCCAAATTCAGGCTGGATGTCAGGAAAAGCTTTCTCCAATTGAGCAATGCTAGAGTGGAACCAGCTTCCTGGACAGGTGATGGTCTCTCACACACGAGATATCCAGAAAGAAGCAGGGCAGCCATTTGAGTGGGATGGCATCGGTTGGTGACCTGCAACAGCGGCAGCAGGACAGAACTGAGGCCTTCGTGGCCCCTTCCAACTCGACTGGGGTGATTCTATGGGGCAGCCCAGCCCACTGCGAAGCATTGTAGGCAGCAGGACAAGACACCTGAGGGCCTCCGGCTGCCCAGGCCCGAGGAGCGGCCAGGGGCTCCCATGTGCCTGGCCTTGCTTCTTTCACTGTTCACGTCACTTCCCATGGAAATGCGTTTTTTGTAAGCAGCACGAGAGCTTGAGAGAGCCGGGGAGGCACGGCGGGGGGGGGGGGGGGGGCTCCTCCATTTTCTGGTAATTAAGCCATTCCGCTTGCACTGACCCCATGGAGAGCGTGCTCCTAGTCCTTCCTGACATCAGGAATGGCTTCAGCCTGTGAGCAACGCAGGGTGCAGACAGCAAAATCTTGGGCAGAAGCCACACGCCGGGAAGAGGCGGGCGGCACGCGCAGCCCTCCCCACAAGTAATGGCAGCCCTCGAGCTCAAGATGCTCCAGCGGCCGCCACGCCACCCACCCTTTGCGGCAGCCCTGACCGACCCCATAAGGGGCCCCGTTAGCCACCAAATGCCCAGAAGCCCTCCAGTCGGGCCCCAAGCCAGAACAGGCTTCAGGGGACTGAACAGGCCCCACAACCATGTGAGCGGCTCCTTCCCCCAAAGCCAGCAGGGCTGAACCTCCCGGAGGAGCCCGCCGAGCCAACCAGGGCCGATCCCTGGAAAGGGCAAACTCGGTACAAACAGGCGGCCGCCGCTTCTTTACAAAACAGTTTATTAAAAACAGGAACAGAAACAACATTTGGGGAGGCCCCGCACAAGAAAGGGGGTGCGCTTCAGTGACCAGCTCGCCCCCTGCCCTGCCAGTGATGGGGAGGGCTGTCTGCAGGCGCCCAGCCAACACGCTGGCAGGAAACGGAGCAGGCTCAGCCACGCGGACACGCCAGCCGCAGCGGCCTCCCGTGGCTGGAGCGTGCGGCGGCTCCATCCTCCTCCATGGCCCAGGAAGCGCCCCTCGCTGAGCAACCGGGACAAGCAGCACAGCTGAGGGGGGTGCAGAAGGGAGGCGGCTGGGGAGGGGGGCTGTGGGGGGGAGCTGGGGGGTGTGACGTGGAGGGGCAGGGAGGGGTGGGGCAGGAGCCGACTCTGCTCTCCTCCTTTCCCTCCCTCCTTAAATAAGACGACAGACATCTCATTGCTGTGCAAAAACTGTACAATTCAAGCAAAAGAGAACTCCATGCAGGTGAGTCCGCGAGGGGAGGGGAGGGGAGGGGAGGCCCTTGGCCACGGGGGGAATAATACTGACAAGGCACACAGCCCCCTCCCCACCTTGCCCCCCGCCGTGGCGGCGATTGTCTGCGGGGCCGGCCGCAGTGCAGCGGGAGGCACAGCCGAGCCGGCAAGGGTTGCGGTGGTGGTGGCCGGTGGGGAGCGCCCGGCGCGGAGGCAGAGCAGGGCCACTACGACGACACTGTGACGGCCGCCAGCGCTCCGTTCCGCGAGTAGAAGAACTTGCTGAACGCTTCTTCAAGTAAACAGCTCAGCCGGCTCTGATCAGCCTGTGGGGAGGCAGGGGGCGTGAGCAGCGCGGGCAGGGCAGGGCAGGGCAGGGCGGCCACCCCGACGGCCCAGCAGCCCCCCCGCCCCGAGGCCCAAACCCACCTCGCTGATGAAGCCCAGCTGGACCAGCTCGGCTGCCAGCTCCTGGATGTTGTCACCTGGGGAGGAGAGCGGTGAGCGTTCAGCCCGTGTGGCTGGGGTGGGGGGGCGGGGGGCGGAGCGGAGCGGGGCGGGGGGGCCGGCGACTTACTGGGCAGCAGGTCACAGCTCAGGTGCCGGTTCAGCTTGTCTTCCAGTTTCAGCAGCAGTGTCAACTAGCCAGGGGAGAGACAAGGGCGTCCTCAGTCCCACCCTGGGGCACCAGCGCGCCATCTGCACGCCCTCTGCGAGGTGGCTGCCGCCCACAGCCAGCCGGGCAGAGCAGGCACGGGTGGGCAGCTGCCCCCGGCGACCACAAGGGCGAGTGCCCGGCCCCGGCCCCATGCCCCGGCCCGGCACGTACGTGGTGCTTCACGCCCTCCTCCACCGACTCAATGTTGCACTGCATCAGCAGCACCTGCGGACGAGAAGGACGGCGGCTGTGAGCCAGGCCTGGGGACGCCAGGCGCAGTGCCGGGCTCGGCCGCTCGCTCGCTCGCTCGCTCGCTCGCTCACCTTGCGAGTCTCCACTTCCGCGGGCTCCGGCGTTGGCGTCTTGACGGAGGGGGGGGCGATGGGGGAGGTCACCACCTCCTTCTGGGGCTGCTGAGGGCGGGGCAGGCCGAAGGCCGTGAGCGGGTAGATGCCGTTCCTGGGGGCACACACAGAAGGGTCTGGCCCCACTCCGCACCCCGCAGCGGCCACATGCCACAGCCCCAGCGGGGCAAGAGCACCGCCCGTTCCCTGCTGGGGGAGGGATGCGGCTCACCTCACGTCCTCCAGGAACTTGTCCAGCTCCAGTGCCGGGGACTGGGAGAAGCTATGAAAGGGAAGACCCCAGTTCAGAGGGCGCGGCTGGGTGACGGCCCGGGTCCAGCCCCTGCCCGCTGCCCCCCACCGGGGCCAGGGGGTCTCCCACTCCAGAAAGCGCCCTCCCGCCCTGCCCACAGCTCCTCAGAGCAGCCTCACATCATTCGGACTCCCTCGCGGTCGGCATGGTGGATTTCCGCCAGCACAGCGCTCATGTCCAAGTCCTTGGTCATCTCCTCCAGGGCGTTCTCGGGGATCATGTCTGCCGGAGACAAAGGAGGGCACGGGGCGGTCTGGCAGGGCCCCCCACCCCACTGCCCCAACAAAGCCAGGCCGAGAGGAGCGAAGGACCCCTGGAGCGAGTGGGGGGGAGGCCTGCAGGATGGGGGAGCTCGGCTGTGCAATTCGACTCGCTCGCAAAGGACCCAGAGTGGAAATGAGCGGAGCCACCGGGTGAGGCACATGGGCCACGCTCCAGCACGGCACTCGGCAACAGAGGATGACCGGCGGAGGAGAGGATGGCGGTACGTGCTGGTTCACCCTGGGGGGAACCATTCCGGCTTCACCTCGTCGAGGGGGGAGTCAGAGCGGGGGCACTGAGGAGCCCAGCAGAAACGCTGGCTCCGCGTATGGTGGCAAATTCTGTGTCGGGGTCCACAAGGAAAGGGGCAGAAAGCAAAAGCCGTTGTGACGCTCTTATGCACGTCTGTGGTGCAACTGCCTGCAGAACCAATTCTGTGGCAATTCTCGAAAAAGAGTGCAGACTGGAAAAGATACTGAGAAGGACAAGCAAGCTGCAGAGCGCCAGAGCATGGCCTTTGGGGGTGCATTCTCGGCATTTTGTTCAGCTGCACAAGACATTTGGGCTGCCCCCCCGCCCCGCCCAGAATGGGAGTTGGAGATGGAGGGCGAGCAGCACCAGCCAAGCCCCTTCAAAGTGGAAGAAAATGGCCCCTCGTTATGAATCGACAGGCAATCTTCCCCCATGTGCGCATTTTGCCCCGTTCTGTGCTGCCCAATAGCCAAAGCTCCCACAAAAATAAAATCTGGAAATGCAGTGCAAGGCCGACTGGAAGCAGCCACCTAGAGAGGGGGCAGGACGCGGAGCACAGGGAGGAGGCGGCCCGTCCCCAGGAGCCGTGGGGGGTTCCTTGTGAGGGGAAGGCTCCAGCCCTCGGGCGGCACAAGAAGCGGCAGCGGCCACCAGCGACAGCACCTGGGGGCAGGGAGGAAGCACCGCGAGGCAAGGCGTGGGCACGGCCCCATGGGGCTCTGGGCCACCTCCACACTTACGCTGATGGCCCACAATGCAATGGGCTGCCAGGAGCTTCAGGGAGGGCACTTCGAAGAGAGCCTGGTGGAAGAGCAGCTCCCGGGCAGTGGGCCGCTTGCTGGGCTGTGGCTCCAGGCACTTCTGGATGAACTCCTGAGAGAGAGAGAGAGAGAGAGAGAGAGAGAGAGGGAGAGGGAGGGAGGCAGAGCAGGAGGAAGCGGGGGGGGGGCCACGCCGTGGGCCAGCCCCAGGGAGGGAAGGCCTTACCCGCTGCAAGGCGTCCTCCAGCAGCTGGATGGCACTGCTGATGGCTTCCTGCGGCACATAGGACGACTCGCCGTTTCCCTGGATCTCCAGCACGGCCATCTGTGCAGGCAGAGCCCAGGCTCAGCGGCATCGCCCCCTGGCCATGCAGTGGGGGGCTGCTCCCCACCCCAGCAGCGGCACCCCAAGAGCTGCCGTCAAAGACACAGGGGCAAAGCTGGGACGTCCCCACAGGGGGCCAGCCAGGCCCCTTCCGGACGGGGGTGCCGCCCACCCACATTACGGGGGGGGGGGGGGCGCTGCAGGCCCCACTTCGAGGCCTCTGCCCTTTCCCTTTAGGCCCATCTCGTCTGCATTCCGCACATTTCCAGCTGTCTCCGGGCGGGCGCTGGATGCAGCGACGAGGCCAGAGCAGTCCTGCCCTGCAGGCCGGGGGGGAGGGGGCGGCACTCCCCATAAGCTTCCTTCGCCTCACCTCCAGTGCACACATCCCGAAAGAGTAGATGTCCACCGCTGTGGTCACGTGGGCGACCTCTGGGAGACAAAATCGCAGTCAGGGAAGCGGGGGAGGCCGAAGCCCGAGAAGCCCCGAGGGAGGCCAGCCCACCCCCTGCCTGCAGCGTGGCCCGGAGGCCCCCGCAGCCACTCCACCCGCTCTGCCCCCGAGCTGCTCAGCGACCCCCTGCAGGGCCACTGGGCAGCAGGGGTGGGCGGGGGCCCTACTGAATGAACCCTGCACCCCCCCCAGGGCGCCCTTCTCTCGTACCCCCGTACTCCGGGGCGAAGAAGTGCAGGTTCTTCTGCTCCTCCCGGCAGGTCTTCACGTGATTGTTGATGGTGTCTGGGGCCACTGCAAGGCAAGAGGGCAGGCCGCTCGGAGGCTGCTCCCGCCTGTGGGGCCGCCCCTTCCCCGTCCGCCCCGGCAAAGGAGCCCAGCGGAGGCCGAGCGCCGCCGCCACCCCGCCTGCTCCTACGCTGCCCGTGCCCGGCACCCCAGCCTGGCCCGAGGGAAAGAGAAGGGGCACCCGGCTCAGAGAGGGGCCGGGGGCAGGGGGTGGGCCCTTTCGCTGGCCCGGTCAGCGCCAGGCTCAGCCAGAGTGCCCTGCAGGCAGCCCGAAGAGGGAAAAGGCTTCAGACACACGCGTGGGCAACGAGGGAAGCCCGGGAGCTGAAGGCAAGCGGCCGGATGGCCACTCCTCTGACGGCGGCTCAGCCGGCTGGTGAAGTGGGAGGTTTCCCACACCGCTGCAGGGCTTCGCCAGCCACCCCGTTGCCCCGTGCCACAGCAGCCGGCATGTCCCCGGCGATCCTCAACACACGGCCTTGTTCCTAGGCAACCTGATCTGGAGGGAGGCACGTTCAGAGCAGCTTCCCATGGGGTGGATACTCCCCACTCTGGGGCTGGGCAGTTCCAGCACCAGGTTCACACCGACCGCCCCCGCCTGACCCCCCATCAAGAGCAGACTCTAGAACTGCCCCCACCCGCTTTGCTACCCCTGCAGCTTTCCTGCATGCAAAGCAACACGGGGGGGGGGGGGGGGGCGGACAGCAAGGCACAGGCCATCACGAGGCTTCCCTTCCGAGGTGTGGCCAGGAAGCGGCAGGCAGCTTCAGCCTCTCCCAGACACAAACACACTCCAGGCATGACGGGGAAAGCAGAGGGACGGGAAGGGCTCCCCCCAGGGGAAAGCAGCTGAAGGCAAAGGGCAAGGCCACCGCCCAGCCATCCGCAAGAGAGCAGCCCCGGCCTTTGCTCTCCTGTTCTGGAGGTGGAGGGGAAGACAGGCCGACATCCTGCCTTTCCATGGAAGCAAGTCCCTCTGTCGTCCAAGAGACCCCTAGGGCTCCTGGGCCCTGACAACCTTGGGGTGACCTGCAGGGGAGCGCTGCGGATGGGGCCTGCCTCCTAAGCGGCCCCTCGTGCGAGATGCGCAGAGGCAACGAGGGTTCGGGAGGAACCAGAGGATGCCGGACCAGCACACGGATCCCAGACACGGTGTGAGGCTCAAAGCTGGCGGCGGCAGCACCTTCCCGCCAAGCGGAGGCTGGCGCGCGCACGGCCAGGCATCACCACCACACAGGACCCCCGGCCACTGCGGGGCTCACGGCCGCGAGACTTCAAGCGACGCAGAATCGCTGCAGACCTCCGGTGCAACGCAGGGCCCCCTGCAGCCTGGCAGCTTGTGAGACCTCGACCCCACGGCCCTCTTGCGGTGCGCCCAGCAATGCCCCAGCGCCTTCTGCACCCGGCAAAAATCAGATGTCGGCAACAGACGAGCCAGAGCCTCGAGAGGCTCTCTTTGGTCAGGCGGGACTTCCTTTTCCAAGGTCCACAAAGCTCCAAATAAAACTTCAGAACAAGCAGCCACGGACCTTTTAGGCAAGGATCCCACATAGAAGAAACACACTCGGCTCCTGGGGGCATTTTCAAGGCTGCTGCCATTTGCCCGAACAAGCTGGACATAAATACCGAGCGTCAAGCGCCGGTTCGCCTGCAGTAACAACGATGCCCAGCGCATCACAAAAGCTCCGCTGGAATGCCCAAGTCTGACCATGATTTTGGGGCCCCATGGGCCCCCTCTGGGGACGAGCACACAGCATTTTACTTCCATGTGCTGTGAGGATGCCTGTTTCCGAGTTTCTGTCTCCAAGAGACAGAAACGGTTCTTCGGAGAGGTTATTTCTGTACACACAAATGCCAACATCTACAAGCAATTTGGGAGATCAAGAGGCCCTTGGCCTTTGCTTACACTCACTACAATATCCTGGCTAGCCTTCATTGCCCGTGCTCTGTCTCTTCCTGTTTTCTGTATCGGCAAGAACAAACACCCTTTCTTGAGCAAAGCTGCTGCGACACTCCTCAACGCCGGCTCTATTCCTGCCTTCAGGCGAACGGACAGACGGCTTGGCCAGGTGTGCGAGTCAGGCAAGTCATGCAAAAAGAGCCGGACCTTCCCTGCCTGCGGAAGCACCTGCCACTTGCAGAAAGGTGGCGTCATTCCTGCCTCCCGCCCAAGCCTGGAACTGAATCAAAGACGCTACTTTGCGGGGCTGGAGCAGGAGGAATGTTTCAATTCCATATCCTGCGCTTCGTGGGCAGAAGCAGCTGTGTTCCAGCTGTGGCCCCCACATGCAGAAGCCCACCCCACTTGCTCATACAGCCGAGCAAGAGCCGCTCTCTGCCCTGGGCCTGCAGGGCTGCCCCGCGACGTGGACGGGCGAGCCCCTCTCCGTGCGACTGAGCTGGTGAACGGCAGCTCCCTCCCTCCCACTCGGTCCCTCGCACAAGCAGTGGCAGACCGGGCGGGCCTCTCCCTCCTGCCCCAGCCTCTTGGGGCAAACGGCTCGGTCCCAAACGGTGCGCTTCCTTAACGCAGCACACCAGCCCTGCCAGCTGGACTGCAGGCAGGTCAGCAGTGCCCGGCAATTCCCTTGGGCTAACGCCTCTTCATTCCGTTCACTGCATTTCTATACTGCCCAAGAGCCACAGCCCTCTGGGCAACTTAGAGACTGAAAACCCAAACAGTCATGAAAAAAAGCATATACAGGAAGCTCCTGGGTTACGAACAAGCTCCACTCCTGGAAAGATGGAAAACTGGCTTTACGTTGAAAATGGCAAGGACCTCTGGGGGGGGGGGGCGGCCCAACCTGACCAGCACCATCTCTGCAGCACGGAAACGCCTGATAGCTCCCCCTCCAGGTGGGCAAGCTTGGGAGGCCCCTTCGCTACCCTCCCACTTCCCCTCTCCCTGTGATGATACTCTGGAGGCTCCCCTCTCTCCTCCTTTGCTTCCTCTCTGACAATTTGCCACAGTAATTTTAAAAAATAGGCTTTACGGCAGTTCATCCATACGTACAGGATGTTCCTAACTCAGAGACTGCCTGTATATGCAACACATCGACACACAACACACCGAAACACACGTGCATCTAAACACAATATCAAATGATCAAGAAAAATTCAAGGCCCTCAGCCTGTGCACCTGGCGAAGGGCCTCGGATGAGCGCGGCATGTGGGGCGGGCCGTATTCAGAGAGGCGCTGCAGCGCCGAGCTGGCTCTGCGGGTCAAAAGCAGCACCCGGAGGCACCCAGGCAGTTGCCGCAGGGAGGCCAGAGCTGCTGCTCCGCACTCTGGCCCTCTGCTCCCGGCTGCAGCCCGGCTGCTGCGTTTCACACGAGCTGCAGCGCCAGCCCTCCCCAAAGGCAGCCTCACGGGGCGCACACGGCCGTTGGTCGACCTCGAAGGCTCCCTGAGCACAGACCACGGAGTCCCTGCCCAGGCAGGGGGACAGCGGGGACCCTGCAAAAACTGGAAGGAGGCGCTCAGGGCCAGTGAGGCCACCAGAGCCCAAGCAACAAGCTGGGTCGGGGCACCCCCCCGCTGCGAGCGCCTTCCTCCGGGGGGCTGCAACCCGGCCCCAGCAGACGCGGCACCCGCTGGGCACTGCAAAGCAGCACTCACTAAGGCCCTCGCCCCAGCCAGGGCAGGGCGACCGCACACCAGCCAAGCACACAGACGGACGGGAGAGCTGTGCCTCCCTCCCAGGGCGGCCCCCTGCCCCCCGCCAGACAAGAGGCGGCCCTCCGCCGCATGTGGCCAGGGCAGCGGTGGCGCCCACCTCCGCGGGCACGCGCCACCCAGCTCCCTCCTGCCCCGGTCCTGGCGAGACCCCAACCCTGAGCTGGGCCATGTCCTCCCGCCTGGCCAGGGCAATGCTGCCCCGGGGCCATCGCCAGGCCTGCCTGCACCAGGCCACGTCTCTCCTCGGCTGGCCCCACGCCCCCTGCAGTGGGGCCGATTCCTCTCAAGATGGGTCCTCTTCCATGCGATCCTGCCGGCAGGCGCCAAGGCCTCCAGGCAGGAGGGGCCTTCCCAGGGCCGCCTTGCCCTGCCTGCCCCCGGTGCCCATGCGGCAGAGGCCCCGCTGCCTCGGAAGGCTCTGGTGGGAGGTGGCAGCACGAGAGGAAAGCCGCAGGGGCCAGCCCAGCTGCTTCGATCCGGCAAAACCCCAACAGGGATCGCGAAACTGCTCTCCAGGTAGACACCCCAGTGAGGCCAAGCAGAGTTGCGGGGGGCAGAGAGCCAGTGCGCACCCTGGTCCCCCAGGCCCCTGGCCACGAGCTCAGAGCCCAGCGAGCACAGAACCCACGGCCAGGCAGCAAGCGGCTCCCCATGTGCAGGCACAGGGCGCCGGCGGCAACAGCTCAGCAATGGGGAGCGGCGGCCACGTGCAGGAGGCAGCACGCAGCAGCAGGCGAGGGCGGCAGCGACTCCCTGGGAGCACCAACGGGCCCAGCCACGCAGGAGGGCCTCACCGGCCAGCCTCGTACGCAAGGGGGACACCAGGAGTGTGGGGAGCTCTGTAAACATAGACTTGATGCTCAATGCGAACTTTATCTATAGATGCAGACGGGCAACTATAGATAACACGGGGGAGAGCCACAGTTAAGTCACACAGCAGAGGGATTTGCTCACCATTAGCAAAAATCCTATGAAAGACTGTTGGTGGGGGTGGGAGAGAAAGAGAGACGGGCGGATGGACAGACGGGGAGGGAGGGTGGGGGGAGAGAGAGAGGGTAGCCTATAAGGAGGAAGCCATGGCAGGCCACGATTCGAGTGCTGAGCAGTCGGCTTGCCGGCCTTCTGCCCCTGCAGCAGCATCACCGCAGCAGTGGGGCAGGCGGGAGCAAGGGGCGCCCCCGGGCCCATCCTGCTCCTCCAGGGTCTCCGGTGGATTCTCGGGGCAGGCCCTGCTCACCCCCGGGAGGCCTCGACCTACTGGCCCCTGGCTGGCATGGTGGCAACGGGCCACTCGCCCCATTCTCAGGGAGCAGCCCCTCGGGCCTCAAGCCAAATGCAAGGGAGGGCTTTCTCCCAGCAGACCAGCATCGCGAGCAGCGGCGGGGGGGCAGAGGAGATCGCTTTTTTTGGGGTTCACAGGGCAGCCAGACTGGGAGCCTGCCCAGCTCAACCACCCACGCAAAGAGAACCGACTAGCGCAAGGCCACACGAAGCGCCCGCTGGAGGAGGCCCCCAGCAGCCTCTGCCGTGCATCCCCCCGCCACTCAGGAGGCTGTGCACCCGCACATGCATGCACACTCAGAGCCCGTGCACATCACGGCCAGGCTCTTGCCCCACCCAGCTCTGGGAACCTCCTGGAGGAGTTGCTCTGCCTGCCCCCGGGGCTGGAGCAAGGGGCCCCCGGGCATCGGCGGAGGGATGAAGGGAAGGGGCAGGAGGGCCTGGCTCAGCCGCTTGCTTCAGCTGCCAAAGACATTCTCGTGGAGGAAAGAACAAAGCAGGCAAGAGAGGCGGGGGGGGGGACCTTTGAAAGGAGTGCGCTGGGGAAGCAGGGCGACGGGAGGATCAGGACGGCAAATCGCCGCAGCCACAGCCCACGTGTGGGGAAGCGGGGCAAAGGACGAGAATGCGCCCGGCTGTCCCAAGCAGCACCACCGGCCCCGGCCTTCTCAGCCCCAGCGACGCTTCCGGGCGTCCTCTTGCCTCACAAGTGCCCCAGATCCAACGTCAGGAAGAAATGCCATGCCCTGCTGGGACCCGACCGGTTACGCAGCGGCCTGGCACAGCAGGCGTGTGGGTGGGTCACGAACGTGCGGGAGCCCCCTAGCCCCGAGCAGCAAGTCCTCCCATGAGAGGGAGCCAGAAGCAGTCGCCCGCGGCTGAGGAAGGAGCGCGCAATCCTCTGCACTCGCTCTGGGGCCAAGCCCGCGCGGCACTCCCGGCCAGGCCTGCCAGGTGCCGCCAGCCCCTCTTCCTTCCTGAGCGGCGCCTGGCAGGCACAATCCTGCATCCAGGCAGGCACATCTTGCTTCCTGACCGTGATCCGCAGGATGGTCACTGGCTGAGCAGGCATGTGGCCTGCTCCCCTTGGTGGGATTCAGCATAATGACGTACCAAAGGGCTCCCACGTCCAGGTGCGGGCAGATCCTTCGGAGAAAAAGCAGCACAGGATGCCAGCCATGCAAAGCTCCTCTCAGAAAAGGCAGTCCAGGAAGCTCTGCTGAGCTCTCGGTGCCCCATGCCTCCTGCACTGACGGCCGTGTCTCTCGCTTTGCTCGGGGAGGCTAAAGGCTGCCGCCTTCAGCAGGCCAGCCTCTGCCGCGTGGAGGAGCCCGGCCCTGCTGGCCTGCTGCCTGTGCCCCACAGCCGAGACGCGCAGGGAGAGCTCTCCTCAGCGCGGCCACGGCTCGCTCGCCTGCTCTGCTGGGCCCCAGAATGTCCTCAGGCGTGTTCTTCCCGCACAGGGGACCGTGCAGACAGGCACAGAAGAGAACCGCTGGACGTGGCCCTCAGAGCAGGGACGGCCCCACAGCAAGGGGGCCTCCCCCCACCCAGCACCCCCAGCCAAAGGTATGAAAAAGGCCAGGCTGGTTAATCCAAGACTGGCTGCACCGGAAGCTCTCCTCACCAAGGCACGGTCCCTGCGGAGAGCTCAGTTAATCCAGTGTCACTGTGGATCAAAGCACCATCCCTGTGGTGAGGGGGGCAGTGGCCTGAAATGACCACCTCCAGAATGGGGAACCCATCCAACAGGATTTTGGGGTCTTTTATTTCCTTTCTTTCCTTTTTCTTTTTTTTAGAAATTTTGATACTGGCCTACAAGGCCCTTCAAGTGGGTTTCCTAGGAGGTTTGCATAAAAGGGAAGTACGAAAACCAGTGAACCTGCCACGATCAACTTCTGAGGAAAGGCAGGAAACGAGCGTAAATGCAACGCCAGAGGTGGCGTTTGAAGCGGGACACACACGTGTGTGGAAGCCGGGAGACCCCGCCAAGCTGGCGGGACCAGCCCGGCAGCCCAGACAGGATGCCTGTGCACAGAGGCAAGGCCGGGAGCTGCCAGCAGGGCTGCATTTCCTGGGAGGAGCAGCCTGTTGCTGCTGGAGGCCGCGAACTTGGCCAGATATCCTGGAAGGCCAAATTCCACACTTCTCACAGCCTATAAAGGCTGGACGGAGCACTTTGCAAGCCTTTGCTCAAGGACTCGATGCTACAAAGATCTGCAGCCCCACATGCAGCACCCCCAAAACCGCCCCCCAGCCCTGGAAGTACTTGTTCCCTGGGCAGCTCTCCAGGGCAGCCAACTTTCCTGCAAGCAAGCGGCAGTCTGGCAAGTGGCGACCCTCATCCTAGGCAACTTGAAGAAGATTAGACACACTCTTGGGGAGGAGGGCCCTAAGACAGGAATCACTATTCTGCTGAGTGTGCTGGCAAAGGGACCTCCGACTCCGTGCCACACATGCCACAGAGCAAGGGGTGTCAGTGCAGGAGGAGGGGAGGGAGCTGTCTGAGGAGCCCTGAAGAGGAGTGAGGGTTCCAGGAACAAAACTGGCATGACCCACCACCCCAGAAAATCCGTACGTGGCCAGCACACAAATGCACACCCGGGAAGCAGAGCAGCTGCAGGTGCTGCGACGTGGGCAAGAGCCTCTGCCCGCCTACGGAGGGCTCTCAGGCCAGTCACGGGAGGCTGAAGGTTTCCTCTCGAGGGCCTCCGTCCCCACTTGGGTGCCGCGAGCACAAGCCCAGCATGGAAGCTACAAAAGGTGGGGGGTACCCCTCCCAGGGAGCCCCGAGAGGCAAACGGGCTGCAGCGTTCTGCTCTTCCCCTGCGCAGAGGGCAGAGCTGAGTCTCCACTCTGGCTCAGCCAGGAACAAAGCGCAGGGCAGGAGAGGCCGGAGCAGCGGCTGTGGGGCAGCAGGGATTTTCAGGGGTTTCCAGAAGACCACAGCAATGAGGGCCGGGGCAAGCGGTGGCGGGAGGGCTGCTCCCAGCCCCGGACCCGCCCCTTCCCAGGGCTGTGGCAAGGGACTGCTGCCCACTTGCCCCCTTCCTCACCCCCACGGTGTCCACGGGCGGAGCTCCAGCAGCCTTACCAGAGCCAATCTTGATCAGTCCGTTGTGCTGGATGAAGATGGTGTCACAGGTCAAGTTGCCGTGGATGATGGGGGGCTCACAGGAGTGGAGGTAACTGGAAAGGTGAGACAGGAAGGGCTCTGAGGCAGGGCGGCAGCCCCACCAGGTACCCCCAGTGCAAGGCCAGCTTCGGAGTTCACCGTGCCTGATGCTGCCAGAGACGCCGGGAGCAGGGGAGTCCCTCTCAGTGTAGAGGGGCAAGGAGAGAAGGGAACTGGTGCGGGGCAGACAGCAAAATGGACCCCGCAGCTGGCTCTGTGCATGTGTGCGTGTCTCAGCACCCCTGCTTGCTGTGGCAGTCGGTTCCCGAGGGAGAACCTTCCCTTCCTTCAGCTGCTCAAAGGAGCCCGAGATCACTTCATCGTCCTCAGGGCCCAAGTTCAGAGAAAGGGGCCCAAGGCTGCCAAGGGGGAGCTGCCATGCAGCACCGCCTCCTCCAGCCCCTACCTGAGTGCCGAAAGGATCTGCGTGCACCAGCGCTTCCAGGCCTGCAACACAAGGCCGAGGCTCACCAGCGTGTTCCAAGAAAGCGTGGCCGCTGCCAAGCCCCCGCTCCCTTCTGCCCTTCAGCCAGGCCCCCTGGCTGGCTGGCCGGCCTGCGAGTGCCGGCCCTGCAGCGGCAGGGTCTCAGGGGCAAGAGGCAGCCCCCGCGTCTCACAGCCCCAGCACCACCGGGACCCCTGGGGTAAAGGGCAGGGTCACCTTTTCATTCATGGTCTTGTGGTTCTTCTTCGTCTTCTTCAGGAACTGCTTCAGGCTGCCGGAGGACATGTACTCCGTAATGAAAATCACCTGGCCAGGGGAAAGAGGGCGTTGGGGCTGGAACAAGCCCAGCAGGAAGGGAAGCGGGGGAAGTGTGCGAAAGGACGTGTGTCACCCACTTACCCTGGCCTTGTTCTCCTTCACGTCGGCCCAGTACTTGTGAAACTTCACAATGTTCAGGTGCTCCAGCTGGATCAGGTTGTCAAAGACTGCTTTGACCTTCTCCTGCAACAGCGACCACAGCAGCATCAGGCCCCACCCGGAGCGCAGGGGGCAGGGCTGGCACGGCCCTCGGCCCACGCGAGCCCCTCCACGGCAGCTGCGAAGGGAGCAAGGCCCTGGGGAACTGCAGGGCCCCTCGCTGCTGCCACGGGGGTCTCTGCTCACCACCCTTCTTCCGGTCCCACCAACCTCCTGAAGCTTGAAATTCTTGCGCTCAGAGAACTGGACTTCATTCCAAACCACCTCCACGCCTTCTTCTGTATCCATGGCCAGGTAGGCACTGTCAATGCCTGGAACATTGCGCTGATTCACCTGGAGGCAGAACAGCAGAACGAAAGGTCACCACTCAGGGAGGGACTGTGGCGAGGAAGGCTGCCTCCAGCTGCCTCCCGCAGAACCGACCTGTCAAGGGATCAGCCACCTGCCCAGCACAGCTGCAGCTGAGAGCAAAGCCGACTCAGCACGTGAAGAAGCAAGCTAGCGAGAGCTCCGAAATGGCTTGTCTCAAAGGAGCGAGCCGATGGGGGAGCCTGCATATCAGGAAATCAGAGCAGCAGAGTTGGAAGGGCCCAGAAGGCCACAGGGTCCAAACCCCTGCTCAGTGCATGACCCCCAGATAAGCCACCCCTCTCAGATGGCTGTGAAGTTGCATCTTGAATGCCTCTAGGGTGCGAGAACCCACAGTCCCCCTACGGTATTGGAACTATCGTTGTTCTGCTCTAACAGTCAGGAAATTTTTCCTGACGTCCACCCGAATTCTGTCTTCCCATCTCTTGAGTCCATTATTCTGTGTCCTGCACTCTGGGGTGACCAAGAGAGCCTGTCCTTCCTCTTTCTGACAGCCTTTCAAGTACTTGTAAGGTGCTATCGGATCTCCCCTGATCTCCCACTCAGTCTTCTCTTGTCGAGGCTCAGTATGCCCAGTTCATTCAATCCCTCCTCATAGGATTTTGTTTCCAGGCCCTGAATCATTCTCATCGCCCTCTTCTGAATCCTTTCCACCTTGCCTGTATCTTTCTCATCCAGAACTTGACACAGGACCCCAGATGAGGCCTAACCGGTGGGAACTGGCACTTCACGGCATGCAGAAGTGGCACTTCTGCTAATGCAGCCTAAAACAGCGTTTGCCCTTTTTGCAGCCAGAGCACTGTTGACTCTGGCGTGTGATCTACAGCAACGCCAAGATCCTTCTCACCTGCAGGATTGCTGAGCCAAGGATCTCCCATCTTGTAACAAGCATTTGGTTTCTTCTCCCAGGTGCAGAACTTGGCATTTGTCTGCACTGAATTTCATTCTGTTGTTTTCAGCCTAGCACTCCAACCCATCAAGGTCCCCTTGATTCTTATTTCTGAGTTCCAGGGTATTCGCTATCCCACCAAGATTTATGTCATCTGCAGGTCTGATCATCGTTCCCTGCACTCCCTCATTAAAATCATGAATAAAAACGTTGGAGAGCACTGGGCCCAGGACTGAACTCTGGTACTCCACTTGGTACCTCTCCCCAGTTTGAGAAGGTGCCACTGAGGCGTGCTCTTGGAGCCTGCCTCTGTCGTCATCTGTGAATCCACCTGACAGCTGCTCCATCCAACCCTAACTAGAAGTTTGCTAATCAGAACAACATGGGACACTTTGTCGAAAGCTTTTGCTGAAGGCAAGAGAGATTATATCTACAGCATTCCCACAGCCCACTCAATGAAAAAAATGAAATCCAGTAAGTCTGGCTAGATTTGCTCTTGAAAAACCCATCTGGGCTTCGAGTATTCACTGTGCTGTTTTCAAGTTGTTTTCTCTTTTGTGAGAAGACTGAGCCAAAGTAGGAACTGAGCAGTTCTGCCTTTTGTCATGTGTCGTCATCCTGCCATCCCCGCTGAATAGCTGAACGTATCTGAAAGCCTCTTCATTGTCCTTAGCATCCTCTGCTAACCTCAATTAATTCCTTACCCTATCCTTCCTGACGCCATCGGTAATAATGTGGTACTATTAACCTTGCGTGAGGTCTGACGGAAAGCTGTCATGAGAATGGACCACACGTTTACCAAAATTCTACCTCAACAAGCCAGTTCAGTGCTGCTAAGACAACCCAAGTTGGTTACCTCTGAACTGGGGGGGGGGGCTCCCAAGAGGAGGAGAGCATTAGTCGATCCATTTGCAGGTGGCCTCGGGCTCTCAGGCCCAGCAGAGCCTACACAGCCCATGGTGCTGTGCCAGGATGCCCACCTCCCCACCAACACTCCATGGGCTGAAGATCTCAACACCCCACAGGCCACAATGGGGCAATGGCCGTTCTCCCTCTTCTCCTCAATTCATCTGCACTGGTCAGCTCAACAAGGGTCCCCATCTCTCCCAACCACATGCTGGAGGGGAAGTTTATAGTTCCCAAACTGATGCTCTCCAGACTGACTCTAGATATAGGCAAAGGAAAAGGGGGTGCGCACGTGTGTGTGAGAGTGCTGGGGAGGCAATTAGGCTGAAAAATGCACCCCAGAGAAATGTTGAAAGGTTGCTGATCGTTATCTGTGGCTCAGTAGCCTCTCATTCAAATGGACAGCACTACCCAACAGGGCTGCCTAGAGACTGCTCAGCCAGGGGAGCTGCAGTGACAGTCACTAACCAGGCCCAATGATCCAGAACGTATTTAGCAGCCCAAGAACAGCTACACCAGCCACCAGTCCATTTCCAAGAACAAATCAAAGCTCCCACGTTAACCTAGAAAGCTCTAAATGGCACAGAACCAGGAGATCCGAGTGCCCACCTCCTTCTCTGTGTACCAGCTTATTCATGAAGGTAAGACTGAAAGGTCCTGTTTCTGTCCTGCCTGCTCTACCACCACATTCTCCCATATTCTGCATGGAACAACCACTGTGTGTTTCAAAACTAACACACCAAATTCTTGCAAAGTCTCTTTCAGTTTGTACAAGCATTCCTTGTTTAGAGGTCCATGAAGCGCCAAACAAAACTTTAGCAAAAGCAACTATGGACTTTATGAATGCAAATTCCACTGGTAAGAAATGTGCTCAAATCCTGCATGTATTTTCAATGGCACATGACAGAAGCATGAATTCAGAATTTATCTGTAGTTACAATACTTACTAAAACAAGGGAATCATGGTTTACTTTTCCTGTGGAATTCTCTGTACAAGTAAACTCCGCTGGAACTGACACTGTCATCTTTTTGACAACAGGCAAAAAATGCAAGTATTTTCCCAGGAAACTGGTCATGGCCTGCTTAATGCAAGCTGTTTTTGTGGAGATGATGGGAGAATTGTTACCCTTTCTGAATTATGCTGCTTTTAGGATCCATGTTAAGTCTTCTTGTGTTGATTAGGTTTTGCACTAATTTTGGAACTTTTGTTTGTTGTAACATGGGTTTTTGTGCAATAAATGCAAAATTTTTCCGTGTCACTTTTCTGCAAGATGTTGCATAACTGTTCTCAAGCGCAGTAAATACTTGGATCCAAAGCAGCCGATGGGCCAACTTCTCCTGTACCAGCCTGCCTGCATTCTGGAGTCACCACCAAAAAGCCTCCCACCCTGCCTGCCAAGGCTGTTGGGCTAGCAAGCACACAGCCCTTCCAGTGAGGGTCCTGCGGCACTCGCATCAGCTCCCTTTGGGGCTTGCCAGGTTGTTTTTTTGGCAGACTTTGAAGACCCACTGTGTTCACTGGGTTTCCCAGAATCTGTAGTTTGCAGGTTTTATTGATACAATATATCTCTACACTGATTTACAGTATTTTAACCAGATATTCATTTGCTAAAAATACTGATATATCTATAAAATGCAGTTTATATGCTTTTTACTTGTTATCTAGCATGTGGCTTTGAGAAAGTTTTACTCTCAAGAATAAACTAAAATACGTTTAAGAATACCCTAAATTATGCACATACTTTTGTGAACTAAAACCCACAGATGCTCAAGAAATTATGAGGGCGAAGATGATACATGCAGAAAATTTACTACTTTTGTACCTATATTACTCCTTCAACAAAAAAACTTTTCTCTTTATAAGCAACTAGTCTTCTCTCCCTCTGCACACAACACACATATCAACAAGTTCTCTCTTAATCGAGATAACAATCTGTTTACTTGCTCCACTTCTCCATCAGGAGCAGGCAACCCGAAAGGGGTGGCCCCTTCTTCCCATACTCACGAGATACCCACCTCCCTTGGGTCATCCCGCTAAATTTGGCAGCCAGTTCCAACAGAATATATCAGAGTGCAGAATCTCAGGCTGGGGGGCCAAATTCAGCTGCCGGGCACCCTCCAGCGAGCCCATCTGGTGATTTATCACCGTTTGCTCCGTTTCCCTCCATCCCCAACGGCTGAAACACCTCCAAGGCCGAGCTGCCCACAGTGAGACCTTCACATTAAAATAAGCTCTCCGCACGCCTGCCACCGGCACACGGCCCCAGGCGCATCTCTAAAGAGGACTTTGGTCCTCGAGGACTCGGCCCCGTCGCTCAGCCGCGACGCCCGCACTCGTCGGGCGACCTCACGCCTCGCCACCGGGCCGGGGCTCCCAAGCCACCCGCGGGGAGAGCGCACGGCGAGCAGCCAGCCGGCGAAGCCGGTCGTGGCGGGGGCATTTTTTCGTACATCCGGAGAAATCGGCCGAGTATGGCGGGCCGATGATGCACAGCGTTAGGAAGGAGGGGCCGAGCCACGTTCTGCGCCCCAGGCAGGAGAGCAGGAAGCAGCTCAAGGGCAGGCGCCCCCCGAGGCTGGCGGCTCCCTGGGCGGGAGGCCCGCCGGAGCTCCTCGGCGCACAGCGAGCCGCCGCGCGACGGGCACCCCAGCTGCGGGCGGCGGGAACGGCCGCGCCCCCTCCAGCCGCCGGGCGCGCGGGGGGCGCCCTCGCTCCTGCCCGGCCCGGCCCGGCCCGCGGCGCAGCTGCGAAGGCCCCCGAGGAGCACCCCGAGGCCGAGGCCAGAGCAGGCCGGGACGCGCGCGCACTCGGGACAGGTCGGCCCACGGCTCGGCCGGCTCCGGGCGCCCGGCCCAGACTCGCGGAGGCCGCAGGGCTGCCAAGCACCTCCTCCCGCCGCTTCTGCCACCGTCCGCAGGGAGACTCCTCCAGGATCTCCGACTCGTCCTCGCTCTCCTCCTCCTCCTCCTCTTCCTCCTCCTCCTCCGGAGCCGCCGCCGCCATGGCGGGCGAGATCGAGGTCAGGCCGGGCGCCGCGGCCTCGGGCTTCGGGTCGGCGCCGGGCCCGGCCCCGGCAGGCCCCTGGTGCTTAGCATCGCCTTCGGACATCTCCGGGGACGGGCAGGCGCGGGACACCCGCGCGGGGGGAGGGGGCGCCGAGCGGACGGCAAGTGACGCAGCACCCGCCGCCGCCGGGCGAGGCGCCGCGCCCACGCAGGCGGACCGACGCGGGGCGGGCGGGCCGCCTCCTGCCGCCCTCGCTGCGCGCACTCTCGGGTCGCGACAGGGCTGGGCCGCCTCCACCTCCGCCGGGAATCCGAAGCCAACTGGCCGCCGCGCCTCCTCACGCGCCGCGGACCAAGAGACGGCGGGGAGGAGCCCGGCCGCGGCCAATCAGCGCGCGGCTTCCACGCCACGGCGCCTCCGGATTGGTCGAGGCGCGGGAGGCCGCCCCAGTCGCCTTCCCCCAAGGTGGCGGCAGGGCGGGGCGCAGGCCCGGCCGCGGAGCCGAGCGCGTCTGCGGCTGCGCGGCCCGCAGCGGAGCGGCCCGCTGCGCCCTGGCGAGCCAGCCAATGCGCGCGCGCCTCGTGGCTCTCGCGGCCGCCGCATGCGGGAGCCTCGCTCGCCGCGCGCGCGCCCGCCCGGCC